CATGGTTCCCTTTAAATACTTGAACACTCTCTTCATTGCTTGCCAATGTTAAGTACTAGGATTACTAGTATACCGGCTCAACCTACCCACGACATAAACAATATCCGGCCTGGTACTTGTCATGACATACATCAAACTACCAATGGCTTGAGAGTACTCAAGTTGCGATATCGCCTTTCCTTTATTAGGCATCAACCTCACACTAGGATCCACGGGAGTACAGAGTACTAACGGGTGAACAATCACTATAATTAAACCTTTTGAGAATATTCTCAACATAGTGAGCTTGTGTCAAAGCAACTTCTTTGTTTACCCGCTTAATCCTTATTCAAAGGATCACATCCGCCTCCCCCATGTCCTTCATGGAAAACCTTGATGATAACAATCTTTTAGTTTCATCAACCTGATTTTGGTCCGTTCCAAAAATCAGCATGTCATCTACATAGAGACATATAAACACACCCACCCCTAAGACATCAAATCGGGTATAGACACACTTGTCCGATTGGTTTAATCTAAAACCATTGGACAAAATAGGACCTCTTTTGCTTTTCCTAATTTGTGGTGTTTCGGGATCCGAGACACCATCCAAGCTTTCTGGAAGTTGCACTTTACTAGTGCTTGGAAGTAAATCCTTTGGTTTTTGAATTGATGAAAATCTCATCGCATCAAAGATTGCATCCCGAGACTCAATCGCGGTGTTAACCGCTACCGCATCGTTAGGTTCTATTACACACAAACTATAAGCCTTGAAATTTTCAGCATACCCTATGAATATGCAATCAATTCCCCTTTCTCCCAAAGTTTTCCTTTTGGGCTCGGGCAAATTTACAATCACCCTACAACCCCAAACCCGAAAATATTTCAAATTTGGCACTTTTTTGTACCAAAGCTCATATGGGGTTGTCTTGTTCCGTTTGTTTGGAACCCTATTTAGAGCATAACAGGTCGTGAGCATGGCCTCTCCCAAAAACCCTTCACTCAAACCCGAGTAGGAAAGCATGGAGTTAACCATTTCCTTTAAAACTCGATTTTTCCGTCCGGCCACACCATTTGTTGTGGTGTATATGGAGCCGTGGTCTTATGAATGATTCCAACAGATTGAAAAAAATGGGGATCCATATATTCTCATCCCCGATCAGTCCTAAAACATTTAATTGGATTACCCAATTGCAATTCAACCTCGGTTTTATACACTTTAAATTTCTCTAAAGCTTCATCCTTAGTGTGTAATAAATAAATACACATAACAAAACCGAGTTGAATCATCAATAAAAGTAACAACATACTTTTTATTTCCAAGGGAAGAAGTTGAGTGAAAATCACATAGATCACTATGTGAAAGATCCAACATAGCCGAATTCCTTTCAATATTAGGAAACGGTTGTTTTGTGAACTTAGTAAGCATGCAAGTCCTACACTTATCATTATTAATATCAAAATACGGAATTAAAACATCTTTGGACATTTCATGCATTTTTCTAAAATTAACGTGAGCTAGTCTAGCATGCCAAATCATACAATCATTCATGGAAGATGCCACAAAAATAGAATTATCACTAGAAATTAATTTATTCACAACATTCAAATGAAACATGCGATTTGATAAATATCCAAAACCAACAAACACACTACACTTGGACAGAATATATTTATCAGATTCAATCACTTGTTTGAACACTAAATTATTCAACATACTTTCCAAAACAAGATTCTTTCGAACCTTCAGTACAAATAAAACATCAAACAACGTAATTGTTTTTCCAGAAGTAAATTCTAAAACAACTACACCCTTTCCCAAGATTGGCGCCATTGACTCGTCTCCCATGCGTAATAAGGAACCGGCCTCTACTAGTTCTAGGTCTTCAAACAATCCTTTATCCTTACACACATGGCTCATAGCCCCCGAGTCAATCCACCATGCACAATCATCATCTTGTACATAAAAAGATTTCGAAATGAGTGATACATAATTCTGGACAGAATTATCAAAGTTAGTCAAGAACTGACCTCCTTTCTGTGGAACCTAGTCCATGGACCGTTCTTGTCCACTCCCACTCATTCCAGCGCCATTCTTGTTCAGTTTCACACGGCAATCACGCTTGACATGCCCAAGCTTTTGACATCTCCAACAAACCAAACCTTTCGGTGTATTGTTGGGTTTGTCATGGTCTTCATACTTGCTCTTCTTGCCTTTCCCCTTATTGTCCGGGTTAGATTTTTTATCCTCAACTGAGTGAACATGAGGCTGTCCAGATTCAACGTCACCCTTAATTTAGTCATTCTCTTGTGCACGAAGAGACTCCTCAATGTGCAAGTGACTCCCAAGTTGAACCAATGACAATTCCTCATCTTGATGTTTTAAACTACGTTTAAAATCCTTCCAAGGGGTGGAAGTTTGTCAATTATACTCGACACGACATATGATGCATCAATACCTATCTTGTGGAGTTTAAATTGACCAAGAACACAAAGGAGTTCATTGTATTGTTCCATTACCGGCCTTGATTCAACCATTTTATAATTATTAAAATCACTCACCAAGAACTTCTTACTAGAAGCATCTTCGGTGATGTATTTTGACTCAAGAGAATTCCACAATTCTTTCGCACTCTCAACGTTTTGGTAAATATCAAATAACGCATCGGACATACCGTTAAGAATGTGGCCTCTAAATATGTAGTCATCGTTCTCCCAGTTGTTACGCCTCCTAGTTTGTTCCAAGGTTTCATCTTCCATCACTTCCGGCATCGGAGTGCTCAACATGTGCACGACCTTCAAAGTGGTGAGAAGGAAGTGCATCTTCTTTTGCTATCTGCGGAAATCATTCCCTTGAAACTTGTCCAATTTGTTGAACTTGGTTGTCATATCTTGCACGGTACTCATGATTATCACAAAGGAATATCAATTCGATTGTTGGGGTTCGTGTGTATAGGGGGTGATAATCGAGTACTTGGATTGCTTAAGTATCGTGTAAGTTCACTTTCCGAATTGATATTTCTCCCCTATGCCTGGGTTACAAGAAATTCAATCTAGGATAATCCTTAAGGACACTCTAAAACTTAGGCACAAGAACTAGACCCAAACTAGTGAGTATATGGATTGTTTTCTTAATTTGAATGCCAAAAGTGATTAAGATATGTTGTATATCTTCCCTCATACTTCTCTGTACGCAATATGGTGATATATATCCATATTACACGTTCGAGGCAGTTACAACACGTTTGAGAATAACCGTGCCAGGTTTTGGAAAACTGCACGAAACTGCCTAACCGCTCTAGATCTCGGTCTAGAACTACAGAGTTGGTCTACTGAGTGTTCTACCTTGAGTTCCACTGCCGTAGACACTTTGGAATAAAACTCGTTGTTATATACAAGTGTGCAATCCACACCTACTAGTTTGTATTAGAACACGGTTCTAATCCCCATTGGTACTCATGTCATTTCCAATTACACAAAACGGAAGGTGACACTAAAATATCCAACAAATAGTAACTTCATGGTGCTTTACGAATAGAATAGTAACTTCATACGTTAAAATAACTTCATACGTGGAGAACAAGAGTCACCGCAAAACAACATGGAGGCGGAGATGGGTACACCAAAAAATGGGGAGGAGGCGGGCTACAATGCCCGCCTCTCAGACATCTAAAAAATGAGATGGAGGAAGCAGGAAGGATGGAAGCATGCAAACTCCATCACCTGAAATTATATTTTTGTTGGTACTTGTTTTTCTGTCAGGACTGAGTTGTTTGTTGTTTTTTTATTTTTGCTTACAATAACGATACAAGTTTGGTGGGTCGTTGTTTTTGAATTAGGTCTTATCTTGATGGAGGCAATCTGGCTAATTCAGCCGCTAACAGTCTCTTTGCTCTCACCGTCTCAGCGATTAGTCTCGCTCCTTATGAGGTGGTCTATTCTATGTATGTACATGACGTGAGGGGGCCGATGGGCTTTTGGTATTGTTGGTCTAGGGGAGTAAGTAAGTCTTGGGATATGGATGATGTACTGATTCGTTTGGTTCTAATATAAGCTATTTCTTTTCAAAAAAAAAATAACTTGATACGTTAAAATATTATTATAAGCACACAATGTGAAAATTGAAAACTATATATGCATGTTTGCCCCGCAGCAACGCCCGGGTACAAAACTAGTAATTATAAATAAATATAAGTAAATAATGCTTTGAAATTTAATCAGTTTATTTTAAAGAAAGAATACGTTTGAAACATTTTTAAGTTAATTGAAAGCCCGAATCAATTAAATCGGCGGCCCATAGTTAATTTATCACTCGTAAACCCACCCTGGAAGATGCTCTCTCCTTTGCCAGCAATCTGCCGTTCTTTACATCTAGCAACCGAAAACTTTCTTTCCAATTATTCAAGTTTCGACCAAAGCATCAATCAGATTTTATCTTTGAATCTTCCAGACGGGTAAGCTGAATTCCTTCCATCTGATTATAATTCTTTCGTGTGTTAGTTAATTGTTTTGGATAGCTTGAATTTTTTTGGGAACCATCACGAGGATAGTTAACCCCACTCTATTTTTCTTTTTTAGAATTTCATACTCTTGTCTTGGCGGAATTTATTTCCAGAAAGTGTTGAAACTTTTAAAGCATTGATTTGGTTGAATCGTGTAGCAAATACAACTCTGATTTTCGGACTAATCTTTTGTTTAAAGAATCTAGAAACCTATTCGTAGTTAGGAAGCGATTAATACACAGAAACACAGGTTCTTTGAGCTAATCTTTTACGTTGTAGTTCGAAATTTTGTTTAAACCTTTGATTAGCTTATGTTTTGTAAAAGCAATGAAATACTAGCAAGTATGTTTCCTGCATATCACTACAAATACTAACGCAGGCGGCCCTGTGTCTGTCTGCCCAGTCCAACCGCACAGTACAAATACTAACACAGGGCTGGCCTTGTGCCTGTCTGCCCAGTCCAACCGTACAGTATAAATACTAACGCAGGGCCGGCATGTGGCTGTCTGCCCAGTGCAACCGCACAGGGCCCAAAAAAAAGTTAGTATTAGACCAAGCCTATTAGTTTTAGTCCACATCTCATTCCCCAAAATCCCCTGCTCCACGACAACAACCCTCGGGCCTCAGCTATTCCCCTGCGCAGCAACCCACGCCCAAGGGCCAAGGCGATTCTGCCGATTCAGACTTCCGCAGCTCCGCCGCCTCCGCGTCTCCAGTCGAACCGCACACTGCACACCGCACGCCTGCACGCCGCCGCCTGCAGTCAACCAGCCGCCCGCCTCCCTCACTCCCTCAGACCCTCAAGCTCCCTGCTCGGTTGCTCCCGCCTGGCCGCCTCTGGGCCTCCCTCAGTCCAGTCGTCCAGTGGACTTCCGGTCAGTCCACAGCATCCAGTTTCTTTTATTCATTTAGTTGCTAATTTGCTAATTCTTGTGAACTTTTGATTTATTGCAATGATGAATTGTTTGTTGAATTCTTGTAATTTGTTTATTTTCAGATTTAATGTTTGTTGAATTGTTGTATTGTCGTTATTTGTTGATTTTTTGCAGTTAAAGTAAATCATTATTTGAATTGATAATACAATGTATAATTTTGTAAATGTGTTTAGCAATTAAAATTTAAGAAAGTGGTATAAATATATTATTAGGTAACTTGAGGTTGATAAATTATAGGGGAAAATAATTAAAATACCCCAAACTTTGAAGGGGTGTGAGATAAACACCCGAACTTTCATATGTAAGTTAAATACCCCAAACTTCATATTATTTCTTTCAAAAATGTAAATTTATGGTGTTTATTGCATAATTTAAAATAGCAAATTGAAAACATTAGAATTATATATAGTGGTGGGTAATACTATTTATTTTACAATGGAAGCTTAGAATGTTAATTGTATTTTTATGAATGCTAAAAATTATCAAATTATGAAATAAACACCAAAAGTTAATATTTTTGAAAGAAATAATACATGACCATGGTGCTAAAATATTTTTTTTTTGTAAAGTTTGGGGTATTTAAATTACATTTGCAAGTTTGGGGTGCTTATCTCACACCCCATCAAAGTTTGGAGTATTTTAATTAATTTCCCCTAAATTATAATTATACACTAGTATAATCATTCATGTTTTCACCCTAATTTTAAACTGAATATTAATTTAAAATTTATAAACATGTACATGATTAAAGGAGAATTTCAATAATTGGTAATAATGTTTCCATATAAACTGTAAGTTAATAATGACTTTTTTCATTTTAATCATTACGTTTATTAGTAACTTGTATTTTAAGACAATTTGCTTGTGTTGCAACTTGAAAAAAGGCCCAAATTTTATTGTTGCACAGGGCCTCCGTTTTCTCGGGACCTGCCCTGATACTATTATATGGTTTAATCACATTTTTTCCAAGAAAATTTGGTGCTTCAAATTTAAAGCAGTTCGATAGTAATGAACAAAATCCCACTTTAAGAAAACATAGTAGGTAAAGTTTGGATCCACACATTGGAACAAACTACTCTCACAGTCTCACTCATAGCTTATCCATCCCTTGTCTTTAACTCTTTACAGTTTCCAACTTCCTCAAACAAAGTCCATGCCTGGACTAGAGCAGATAACGTACGGGCCTTATTCTTTGGACTCAAGCCCAACCCTGATTCTTTCTTCCACTGCTACCATTTACAACCTTATCAGATATTCTCAAACAAAATAATGTATTGTTTCACTTATCCAGCCAGATATGGAGCACAACTGCTCGGATGTTCTTATTGTTAATGAATATCTAGATGGTCTAAATTCATTAATTCTTATATTTTCGAACATGCTTGTGAAACGACACTACACAATATTTTAATTTTCACGTTTCACATAAATATTTGCTTTGTTATAGTTTTCCGATTCAGCTATTTTTGTTATTTTTTACAATAGTTGTTGTCAGCTTTCTAATATATTATGAACTTCTATTTTCACATAACTAACTTTTATTTTGAGCTTATTAGCCTATCAATCAACTTTTTACCAAACACGTAATAATCAAAATAAGTAAGGTTGAAGTTACTTTTATGATTGAATTGGCTGAACTTACTCCACAGGACCGTTTGAGCTATTTTTCATATATTTTAAATATAAAATTTCGATAATTCAGCCAATTCAGTCCCTATGTCCAGGATTTCATTAATTTCAACAGATTCAGCCAAACAGGCTCTAAATGTCTTTCTTATTTCCAATAGTCTCTATTGCATTAAGAAATCTGCATTTTTTGTCAGTTTTTTTTTATTCCGCAGAATATTTTTTATGCAGAGAATACTCCATTGCTGGTATGGAAAAGCAAACAACTTTTTCAATATATAGAATAAAAAAGGAGCTGTCACTATTGTTGAAGTTAACTTTTGCCATGAACAACTCTTTCTGCACAATTCTCATTCAACACTATAAAGTTAAGTTAAGCAACATAATATAAACTAAAGCAAATTATAAATGTGTGATGGGGGTGAGGAAGTTGGCAGGGCGAGCTGCATGTTACAGTATATATGTGTGTTTGTGCACACACACACATATAATTATATACTACGTATATAATATGAATATGTTATATGGGCATTAATTTACTGTGATAGGAAAAAAATGAGAATTCTTCTAGTACTGCACCATACAAATGAATAGGACTTGGCTGGATGAATGATCCTCCTCAAACACACAAAGGCGAAGTGCATATTTTTTTTTGGTTATGAATCAATTACATAAGTTATGTCATTTGGTATGACTTATGAAACCATATATATCCGTAAGGATGAAAAAATGGGGGATATTGAAATTATGGTGGTAGTGAAGATTTGAATTGTAGACTTTGTTTGGATGAAGGGCTTTGAAGGGGAAGGCTTTGATGCACTTCGTCTATATTTAGAATTTTATGAAAATTGAAAGAATAACATAATATGTGATCGTCTTATATAACAGTTTTTAATAACAATATACTATATTTATCAAGATATGGACTAAGCCCCCAACCCCATCAGCCCATCCTCTCTTCAAGATCTGCAATCCAAATCGATTGCTAAAGAATCACAGTGTGTGCCTTTTCACTTCTTCATTGATATAGAACCATCCTCCATTTAAAAAGATGTTGCTGGCCTTCTCCTTACATAATAGTTGACTCATTGATATGGGACTAATCGTGTCTGCTTTCTCATAAGATGTTGCATCTTATGGAATTTGCATCTTTATCAGTGGTTAAGTAGATATTTAATTTCTCTTTTTTGCTTTCCAACAGATTGATATAAGAAGCTGCACAGCAAAAACAGATTGGTAAAGGAATGTGTTCGCAGTAAATGAACTCATTTTTTCCATCAATCATTGATTGCCATGAAACTACTTGCATCGTTTACATGCTCCAGCAGGGCACTTCGTGTTGGAATAAAAGGACATTTGCAATCACGTTCATTCCAACCTGATTTTGCCCCAAGAGATCCAAATGTGAAACCTATAAAATACAAATACCCTACAGTCTATGATCCATACGGGACTAGACCCCCACCGTCTGATAAGATTATGCAACTTGTAGAACGCATTGCTTCCCTAACACCCGATGAGCGCAAACAAATTGGGCCCACGCTCAGAGAGAGACTGAAGCTTCCTGTGCTGAAAGCCATTTCATCAGAAGAAGGCATTAGTGGTGGGGCTGGAGTGGGACAAGGTGGGCCTGCGAAGGCGGAAGAGAAGAAGGTGGAGAAGACGGCATTTGATGTGAAGCTAGAGAAGTTTGATGCGGCTGCAAAAATCAAGGTGATCAAAGAGGTGCGTTCATTCACCAGTTTGGGGTTGAAGGAAGCTAAGGAGCTGGTGGAAAAGGTGCCTGCCATACTTAAGCAAGGAGTCACCAAAGAGGAGGCAAATGACATAATCGAAAAGATCAAAGCTGCTGGAGGAATTGCAGTTATGGAATGATTAGTAATAGCAAGTAGTCTCTCCTGATACGGCTTTACGCATATGTCAGGTCATTATTATGTAGCCCAGACAGAATGAGCTCGTCTTTTCATGAAATTCTACTGCCTTCTGCAATTTCCAGAGAATTAAAGAACAATATTTAGGTTCACTCAGCCTAAGCCATTTCTTCCTAATATATATAGATAGATGGTCAGATCAGGGGCGAAGGCCAGGTCACCGGCATGCCCCCTACCTCCGCCCCTGGTGAGATGGTTCTTATTTAGGTTGTTCTTGGGGGGTATTGATTAAAAGAGAATCAGACAATTCCCTTTGAAATTTAAAACTGTTGTGGTACCTTTTATTTCTAATATAATGGATAATTTACCCATTGGGTGTTTTATAACATGCTTAAATTCACGAGGTGCAATTGGTGCAACACTGATAATGGAGCCTGTTTCAATGCCAGAGGCAAATAAGGCCATGCTCCTAGATGTTCCTAACACAACTACAAATCTACAAGTAGTTGAAACAGACTTTCCTGATGACAAATACATAAGAGCTGAGGGGTAGTTCATATTTAGAACAGGTATAAATCATCTTTGTCTGATTAGAAGACAAGTAATTCCAATGCTTTCAAGTGGATTCAATACTGAAGGAGTAATTGGTTTATTATTACTGGCTTATAATTTACGCGTGCCCCGAACTAATGGAGAAGAATTTGTAGTTGAGGAGTTGGATCCACGTATTTCGGCCATAGATGTGGATGGAGAAACTGTCATTAGTGTTCAATACTCAGGAGCAGAGACAGAAATTTGCTGTAGAGAATCAGGAAATCCGATCAATGATGCAATCTTTTACTGTTATTTAGCTGCGAGTATGTTGAGACTGTTCACTAGATCTCTTGAAAATTACATTGGTGCTTGGACTAATAGCATTGCAAGATTTTCAGGATTTTATGGATTTACTCCACCTGTGCACGATGCACCCATTGGATCCGACTCAGCTGGCTATTTCTGGATTGCATTCTGCTTTTTTTTTCCGGTTAATCGAATGAGAATGACTCAATATAAGATCTTATATAGTACTGGACCTAATCCTAAGTGTGATGGATTAACACGATTCCTTTATGAGATTCACTTGGCTTATACAGGTCTTCATGCTGTTGGGATCTTTGCACAGCTATGTGTTGTTTCCTTGGATGTAGAAAGTGAGTTAATGCTGCAAGTTTTGTCCACTCGGGAGTTTTCTAGACAAATTGGAGCTTTATCTGAATTTGTGAAAATGATGACTAATGGTGAAAATGGGTATAACAGGAAAATGTGGAAATATGGAAGGATTTTTAATGCAAATTTTATGTCTACTTTACAGACAAAATCTTGTACAAAATTTGTTTACATCCTAGCCATGCGCCCATGCTTAAGATGGAAGACCCTGCCAAGTGTAGAAATATATTGGAAATTGTTCAAATCAGAAACCAGCTGAGTGCTGAAGTTATGATGAAATGTTCAGCTGTTGCACAAAAGTTGTTAAGCAAGGTAAAAGCTGATGGTAATTAAGGACCTCTGTTGACCTGAACGAAGCTTATGAGCCTCTTGCTTTATGATCCTAGTTCTATTCTTCTTTGGACTTCCTGTCATAATAAGGAAAAAATGAATCATTTTACTTTTACCCCTATGAAATTCAAAGTTTTATATTATCATTATTACTAGTTAGTTAAACTACAATTTGTTGGTGCAATTGGTTTTAAGTTCAAGAAGTTAATTTCCGTAATAATAGATTAGAAGTAGTCCTCTTCATTAGTCTCTATTGGTCGCTGGTGTACAAATACTTTATAGAAGTACTTTTGATTTGTTTAAGATGACAACTTCCGGTAGAACAACATTAGTTGGGTTCGAAGTTCTTCAAAATATAACAAGTTCTAATTATACCTTTATAATTAGTTAAAGAGTTTTAAGAAGAGTTTACCACGTTATCAAGGTGCAACATTTATATGAATATTTTGAATTCGGCCGTTAATATGTAAGTTCATTATCACACATAAATGTTTGTTCAACCAAATGAAAGAATTAAGGTTGATGGTTGCTTTTTAATAGATGGTTTTAGACTATCTGCTATTATGTGAGCTTGGTGAATTATTTCATGAGTTATTTTATTTGTTATATTAAGTTATGTTTATTATCTGGAATAGTCAAGATTATGACAATACTTTTATTTTAATGTTTTAATGATGTTTTTAACCAAACATCACTATAAAAAGAACTAATATTTAAACGGAAAGATTAGGTGATATGTAATCGGGAACAAGTTCTCATAGAGTTATCATTTTATAGTTTATAGTTTTAGAATGTCCGATATGTTTAGTAGGTAGCTCCCTAAGCTGTCGGATTGACGCCATTGAGTACATATTAGGGACTCAGAGATAAAAATTAGCCACATAGTTTTTATAGAAAGTTTACTGAGATCTCTTTCAGAAAATTTTACAAAAAGTTTTACAAAAGTCCTTTGAGAAAGTATTTTGAGATCTCTTGGGAAGTTATTTCAGAGTTATTTTACTTAGAAGTTTTGAGATCTCTTTAGCAGTTTGTGAAATTATTATAGAAAGTATTTTCTTTGAGAATCAATTGGAGAAGTTAATTGTAAGTTATTTGTTAAGTGCATGCTTATAGTCTAATTTATCTATTGATAAATTATCATAGACTTCTCAAATATTTTTGTGGATCCATAGTGTCATATTAAGAGTGAAGCTTATAAGTTTTCTTCTTTCGCATGTACAGATTCTAAGGGTAAGACCAAGGTCTAGGAAAAAGATAAAGGAGTGAAAAATGTGCCACAATGAGTTAACAACAACGACCCTGACGGCTTGTAACTAGTTATTATTTTATTTAAGTATTTCACTTGTTATAGTATAGTGATTATTATTACTTTATTTTATTTGATGATTTGAAGTTTGAGTAAATTCTTGGATCCATGATACTCACATTTGCTTGTGATAACTAGATTTTATCATGAGTGGACTCGGGGCGGGCTGGTTCCGGTTCGGACCTGGGGCCGGCCGAGCTTTTATTTGAAAATATGTGAACCGGAACCGGCCCGAGTGGCTGGCGGGTCCGGGTCGGGCCGGGCCTCGGGTCACTTCCTATTTCTTTTTTTTTTAATTTTCTAATTAATCCCCTAATCGCCCCCCCCCCCCCCCCCCCCAAACCACCCCAAATGGCCCAAAACACCCAACCCAACCCAGAAAAATAAAAAAATTGAAAAATTAAAAAAAATATATAGAAAAAGGCACGGAACCGGGCCGGGCCGGGCGGATTCATCATTTGGGGGACCCGAGCCTGCACCGTAAAACCACCGGGTCAGGCCTACCCGGACCGGTCCCTGGCTGGGCCACCGGTTCGGGCCACCCGGCCCGAGTCCACCCATAGATTTTATTAAGTTTTTGTTTGGAGCTAGTTTATTTACATTCGGGATTTTATCGGCATTATTTCTAAAACAAACGGTTGTTATATTACAGTTTATTTTAAAAAAAGTAAGTTTATCTAAAAGTAGCAAATTTGTGTGACGTTTCTTTTAACCTTGAGAGGGGCGTTACATATATCTCGCTTCAACTACTACGTCAATCATCGGAAGTTCGAGAAGAAGAATCTTTGAAGTTTTGTAGGTGTGTTCACCGATTTCAACTTAGAAAAGAAAAATCACTTGGATATAAGGATGAGTTTAATCAAGATTTAAAAAAGTATCTTCATTATATAGCTCGCTTCAACTACTCCATCAATCGCCGAAAGTTGGGAAGAAGGATCTTTGATGTTTTGTAGGTGTCTTGCCTGGTTACACTACTAGACAATTAATAAATATCTCACTCTTTAACTTCCACCAACAAGTAGTTAGGAGTAGTGGTGGACTCGGGCCGGGCCAACCGGCCCGGAACCGGACCGGCCCGCTACTGTGCGGGCCCGGATCGGCCCGGTTTGTCGGTTAGGTCACGGTTCGGGCCACCCGGCCCGGTCATGTAGCGGTTCGGGCCCGGGCTTATAATTTGGTGAACCGGCCCGGCCGGGCCGGGCCCGGTCTGGGCCTCAACGGTCACAAAAAAAAAAAAAAATTTTAAAAAAATTTGAAGACTCTACTAGCCGTTGGGAGACCTCCCAAATGGCTCTATAGCCGTTGGGAGCATAGGAGGGGGGGGTCTGGGGGGTTAGGGGGGGGTGGGGTGGGGGTGGGGGTGGGGTATACAAAAAAAAACCTATTTATACTCCTATTTTCTATACATTTTTTACACCTCTTCTTCTACAACTCTTTCTACTCTCTAAAATCTAAATTCTCTATTCTCTTAATCTCTCATATTCAATCATCTTCAGTCTTCATCTTCTCCAAATTCTTTCTACATATATATAATTTATATAATTATTATATCTACTTATATATTATAATATTAATTATCTACTTATAAATATATACTTATACACATTCATATTATAATTCTTTACGCATTATATTATATACTATATATTGTTATACATTATATTATATATTACTTATAATATATTTACACATTATATATTTATATATACTATATATAGTTATACATTATATTATATATTACTTATAATATAGTTATACATTATATTATATATTACTTATAATATATTTACACATTATATATTTATATATACTATATATAGTTATACATTTGATTTATATATACACTTCTCGTTTATCTATTTAATTACTTAATTGTTTCATTTTTCATATTAATATTAGTTAAAGTAGTTAAAGTTAATTGTTTCATTTGTCATATTAATATTAGTTAAACTACTTAATTGTTACATTTCTCATATTAGTTAATTGCTACATTTTTACATTTCTCATATTAGTTAATTGCTACATTTGTACATTTCTCATATTAGTTAATTAGTTAATTGCTACATTTTTACATTTCTCATATTAGTTAATTAGTTAATTGCTACATTTTTACATTTCTCATATTAGTTAATTGCTACATTTGTGCATTTCTCATATTAGTTAATTAGTTAATTGCTACATTTTTACATTTCTCATATTAGTTAATTAGTTAATTGCTACATTTTTACATTTCTCATATTAGTTAATTGCTACATTTGTGCATTTCTCATATTAGTTAATTAGTTAATTGCTACATTTTTACATTTCTCATATTAGTTAATTAGTTAATTGCTACAATTTTACATTTCTCATATTAGTTAATTGCTACATATCTCATTAACGTAAAAAAAAACTAGTTAATTTTTACATTTCTCATTTTAGTTAATTGCTACATATCTCATTAAAATAACAAAACTAGTTAATTTTTACATTTCTCATATTAGTTAATTGCTAATATTTGTTCAATTTTAAAGATGGAGCGAGGTAGACATTCTGTAGATGTGGGTAATCTCCAACGCAACCGCAAGAGGGAGATTGCATCGACTCGATCTACTTCACGCAAAGGCAAAGGTAAAGCGCGGACCGAGTCTTCTTTTCAAAGTCAAGATGATTTTGAAACGGATTACCAACGGCGAGATGGTATGATGATGTCCGACGAGGAACTACAACACCTATTGTCCCAAAATGATCCACGTTTTGCACAAGAACAACAATTCCCGACAACCATCGATGAAGAGGAGCTCGAGGATGACAATGGGGAGGAGGACGTGGGGGGCGACGGGACTCCGGATGATGAGCAAGAGGACGAGGGCCCTTCAACGACTACAACCAAAATTGGTAAGAAATCTAAATCTGCTATTATTGAAAACAATTTTAGAAAAAGGAAAGACGAAAAAACCGAAAAATGGTACGCAAGTTGCAATCATTGCAAGAAAGAGTTTAGCTTGGGAATTTCTGGCGGATACGGGAGTCTCAAAAGGCATCTTCAGTCCACCCACGTTGTGGAGTTTGCGAAAATAGACAAAGGAAAGGGGAAGCAAACACAAATATCAAGGTTTGCAAATTCTCAACCCTTTGGTAATTTTTCCTATGATTATAAAAAACATTTGACTGGTATGTCTCATTTAATTGTTGAAGAAAATTTACCCTTTATTTTTTCCGAAAGTCTTGCTTTAAGAGATTATGCTCAAGGTACTTTAAATCCTCAATTTAGAAATTATAGTCGCAAAACGATTAAAAAAGAAGTTATAAGGCAATATAACTTGGAAAAAGAAAAATTACAAATATTTTTCGCAAACTTTGATGGACGTGTTAGTATTTGTAGCGATATATGGGAGGATACTTATCATCATTTATATTATTTGGGTCTAACTGCACATTATATTGATGATGATTGGAATATGCATAAACGTGTTCTTGCTTTTCGTGAATTCAATGATCGTCACACTGCTGATAATATTTATATTCTCATTGAACGTATTTTAATTGAGTATAATTTGATTGATAAGGTGTTTGCTGTAGGTTTTGATAATGCTAGTAATAATACTGCTGCTATACCTAGATTACGTGAATTGTGTGGTGCTTCTACATTGATGGGTAGATTTTTTCATCAACGTTGTGCATGTCATATTCTAAATTTGTGTGTACAAGATGGCTTAGCGGCATTAGGAAATGCTTTGGAGGTAGTGAAGGGGGGAATTAAATTGATTTGGGCTAACACTCCACTAAAAATGCAATGGCGGCAATATTTGAAGGATAGACGTGTGAATTATTGTGCTTTTCCTAAAGATTTGTCTATTCGTTGGAATAGTACTTATAATTTAATTCAAGTACTTGTTAGATATAAAGATCATTTTCCAGCTTTTTAAAGACAAACTTGTAACTATATTATAAACCCGGCTGACATCGACACTTGTGAAAAAATTGTTAATGTTTTGGCATATTTTAATAACGCAACTCTAACATTTAGTCATGTTTATAAACCTACCGCAAACGAATTTTTTGTTGAAGCTGTTAATCTCGCCGGCGCTTTTTGTGAATTTTCCGACGCCGCTTACGTTAGTTATTTTTGTGATTTCATGAAACAAAAGTTTTTAAAATATTATTCACATATTCCGCATATATATGGTATTGCATTTGTTCTTGATCCTCGTTATAAACTTCCTTACTTGGCAAATTGTATAGATTACTATTATGCTTCTTTTTTTCCAACTCAAGAGTTCGATGATAATCCCATCGACCCTAAACAAGAATTCAACAAGGTTAGTAATTTATTTCATCAATTGTATAATGAATTTCATGCACAATATGGTAATGCACCCCCTCCCATGCAACAAACATCTTCTTCATCTAAAGGAAAATCACTTTTAAAATCCGCTTTTGGTTCTCTTTTGAAAAATAGGAGAGCAACTCCCGCTACTGAACAAAGCTCAGGTAACGAGCTTTCTTTGTATCTAACATTGAATGTTGATTATGAAGTTGGTGATGACTTTGACGTTCTTAAGTGGTGGAAGGAAAATGAAAGAACATTCCCGATTTTATCAAAGATGGCTAAGCAAGTACTAGCAATGCCGATATCAACCGTTGCCGTGGAACAAGAATTCAGTGCGGCCGGCAACGTCCTAACCGAATTTAGAACGAGGTTGAGCCCGAGCTCTCTTGAGACACTAGTTTGCTTTCACGATTGGTTGAAGGCCCAACGAAGAACTCAAGAAATTACCATCACTCCCTCCCGCCACTTTATGGAGGAAACAACCGAAGGCGGAGAGTCCGATTGATTTTTTATTACAAAATGTATTACATTTTTTAAATTCATCCTAATTCTCAATTGTACTTCTTATTTGAAATAAATATACTTCAATTCGAATATAATATATTGTAATTGTAATAAGATTTATTCTAATTATATAATAATTAAAAAAAAATTAAATAGGCCCGGCCCGGCCCGTGAACCGGGCGGGTGACCCGAACCGAACCGGACCCGGGGTTATCCGGGCCGGTTCCGGGCCTGCCTTCCTAGAACCGAGGCCCGGCCGGGCCCAGGCCCGAACCGGGCCCAAACCGGGCCCGAACCGGCCCAAGTCCATTCCTAGTTAGGAGTTGTTTCTGGACCCGTAAGGACTCCAAATTAGATACTCCGTTCCGAATTTAATTCCAAACTTTGACCGACACAAGGATTAAGGAAGAACAATAAATGATACCTTTAAGTAGATACCAAACTTGCTTTTTACACTTTTGCCCATTTTCTTAAAAGTAGATACCTTTAAGTTAATGGGAAAAAAGTAAAAGTATGAGTAAATTTGTCACTTTATTTTTATCTACATACCTAAAATAGAAAGGAGAAAACCATTTTAGGACAACCAAAATAGGAAATTTTGCAAATCAAATTGGGAGGAGGGAGTAGATTATATTAATTCAAAATTCAAAGTTTGATGAAACATAGAATTTATCTCAAGTGCATCTATGTGCTCATATGCACAAGTATATAATACACAAAAGGTAAAGAAAAACTAGGAGAAATTAAATATGATGATACGTGAGGGGGACTTGCCTATTCGATATACATTAATTACTAAAAAAATCAGTCGGTGAATGTTTTCCAAGAATTTTTTTGAAATTTATCATTATCTTGAAAATATAATAAACATGTATGTTTGTAAAAGTCAATAAGTCATAATGATCATATCATCATTCACACAAATAAACCTTGTGTGTAAACAATTTTTTGAGAAAAGCAATTTCAATGAATCCCAACACACGCAAAAGCACAGAGAGAATGAAAGAAATACACACAGAAAGAAAGAGACACAGAAAGCTAAAAAGAAAGAAATAAAGAGTATTACTCGTTTTCATCACATTACAAGCAAAAGAGTTGAAAGAACACAATTGAATAGAACAATTAACAGATAAACCAAATGAAGCCAAATAGTGGGCTCCCTCATTCCCAATTATAAAACGTGAAGAAAATTTGAAGATGCATGTGAACTAATTTGAAGACATTCAGAAACTGGTTATTTGATTCTCCAAGAAAAGATATTTGCTCCCCGGGGCTGATCTAATTCGAGCCTCCCAGCGACTGTGGTGGTGCCTGTGAAAGTTCAATTGTTCAACTCAATTTTAAGAGGAATTGCATCATCTTCTTATCTTTAAACAAAATGTTCAGTTCAATTTAGGCTGGTTGATTCTTCACATCCAAAACTGAAAATGCTAAAACAAGCTAGGTAACACTTTGATTCTTTACAATTGGGAATTCAGTAATTGTACTAACATTGTTAAAGTCCCACTATATTAAGATCTGGGCAACTCCTCCTATTAGATTGACCTTTTAGAATGAAATCTCAGATCTTAACAAACCTTCTCAGTAGTCAACTTGATACGATAATGAGTAACTAGATCATATATGTCACTTTATGGTTTTATATTTACAGCGTTTACCTTGCAACCCCACGGACCACGGTACTTCGAAGCACCTCTAGAAAACCCTATACTCTGGGGCCTAAGTGAGGCTAAAAACTCCTCCTTGGACAGACTCCTCATTTCCTCAAGCTTTTTAGTGTAGCACTCAATCTGCAGAGAATATGTCATTATTGGTATAAACCAGAAAGTGTCTGGCATCCTATACCAGAAAGTGTCATTGAAAATAAAGACCCTATACCAGAAAATTAAAAGTAGTGCCTGGCCCTGTGCCGCAGTATTTAAGAGCAGAAAGATCATAGGTTCTTGTGGCATCATCCTCTTCACTATCATATATGCGTCTTCATTCCATTTCAGAAAAAAACATTTCAGACAAAGTGATGATTATATTTTAAAAAGATTAATAATACGTAATATATTTCTCACTGGTTAAAAGAAATGCTTATCCAAGTAAACTAAGTGATGGCAATAGGATTGGTGGTACATGTCACGGATCATCAAATGTATCGGAAAAGAGAGAAACGTGATAAGACAATAAACTAATTAAATAAATAAATAAGAAACTGCAAACACAATGTAGAGCATCATATAATCACTTTGTCTCCCTTTCATCCTCGCAGTGATATTCCGAAGACTCCTGTCCCATAACTAACTAAGCATCATATCTGCCGCTCCTTATGCGCCTAAAAACTTAAAGAGAAAGTACAAAATGCAGACATAAGTGGACCACGACGTAGTTTTGGTCTATGCAATTGAGATAAAGTTGGGAAACAAAAAAAGAAGTCTGAAGGATTCAAACTTCATACCTCAAAAAGTTAGGAAAGCCTGATTCCGCGTGTTCCCCATTCCCCTGATACTGTATTTTGGTGCTTATTCCGTTTTCTTTGTTTATATACACTTATTATACAATTTAATATAAAGACTCACAAACACCACACTAGGGATAACCACTTCACCTCCAAGCTTCTTCTCTACCACTAAGTAGCCTCTCTTACACTCTCACACAAAGGAAAGGAAGAAGAAGTAGAGCACTACTAATAGGCTGCCTAGCAAGCTGTAAGTCACGGGTGAGGCAAACAAAAGACACTCGCGGACTACTCAAACAAAGGGTGAGACAAAAAAGGGGGGGCAGCCAATAGACAAGTCAAACAGCCAATAAGAGAGGTAAAACGAGATATAGCTTAGTGGAAGCAAACAGCTTGCTAGATGGCCTATTAGTAGTCCCCTTCCCTGTTTGAAATTAGCGAGATATCCATAGAGAGTTGTGCTCTACTTCTTCTTCCTTTCCTTTGTGTAAAAAGAGCGTAAAAAAAGGCTACTTAGGGGTAGAGAAGAAGGTCGGAGGTAATCCTTGTGAGTCTTTGTGTAGAAAGACTGAGCCTGAAGACGGATTTAATCCTTAAAGTGTTATCAGAGCGGGTTCCGCCGTCTGCCGCCGCCCTCCGCCGCCACCACCCGCTGCATTCCGCCGTCTTCAGTCGTTCGAGGCTACTGGTAGTTGATTGAAGACAGTGAAGGTCCTCTCGCGACTCGTCCTCTCCATTGAGTTCACTGTTCGTCCGCTGTGGATTGCGCTGTGGATTGGTGCTAAAATCGCGCTCGCCGGAAGCCGGAAGCCGGAATCCACCATCGCCGCCTGTCCGAAAGCTATTCGCAGGTGGTCACTCGTCTTTGTCGCTGGTCTTTCTTCTCTCGCGCTGAAGTTCAAGACGAAGGGCGCTGAAGTTGATGTTGAAGACGAAGCAACGAAACCTTGGGCCCTCTGTTCAACTGTAGCTGGACGCTGGTCTGTAGCCACAGACGCTGGAGCAGGGTTGTAGAAGGGACCGCTGGTCTGCTGGGTTTCAAGTTTGGGCTTTTGGGCCTCTGGACCTGGACTGGTGCTTTTGGAGTGCTGGAGCTGCTGGGTTGCTGTTGGACTGCTGGGCTGGACTACTTGGACCTGGGCTACTGGGCTGGAGCTGCTGCTAGGCTGCTGGACCTGAAGCTAGAGGTAGTCAACACCGGTCAAACTCATTCAACAATCCGAAGATCCCAATTTTTTTTAATTGAGTAGGTAAGGTCAAAATCCTCTCCTAGGGTTTCGCTAAGGTAAATTGGCGTTAAACACCCTAGGTGCACCGGGTGCCTCCAGAATTAATTTATTCCCCCTCCCGCGGGGCGATTGTATCCCGGCCGCCAACCCCCAGGTGCGTTTGCTAAACCCTCTCCTTTGTGACAGATTATTTTAGTTGATTAAATTGAATTGCAAAGTGTTGTTAGTTTCATTTCTTGTGCTTAAGGGTGGTTTTTTGGGTGTTAGGTGTAAAATTAATTAATCCTAATTGCTGCCCGGAGTTGTTTAAGGTGCCAAACTGTTCAAATTGCTATTTGTTTCATGCTGCCCGGGGTTATTAAAGTGGATACTTTATAGCCCGGGTTGATTTATTTTCTGTCAAATTTGTTTGTTTGTTTTGTGGTTGATACCATGGTTGCTAATCAGTATGGTATGCTCCCGTTTAACAAAAAAAACGGATTTTGACATATGGAAACAAAAAATCAAGTGTGTTTTAATATAACAAAAAGTTTTCAGAGCTGTCACTGGTATTTTCCTTGAATCGGAAGATAAGGCTAAGCATATTAAAATGAACTAAACTGCTTGTTCTACTATTTACTTGAATCTACCCGATTCTGTGCTTAGGAAAGTGGGTATTCTTGAATCCGCTAAGGCTTTGTGGGAGAAATTGGATAGTCTCTATACTGATACCTCTTTGCCCGGGAAGTTGTTTTTACTTGAGAAATTCTTTAGGTTTAGGCTTGACCTAACTAAGGATATAGATGAGAACTTGGATGTGTTTAATAAACTGATACAGAATATCAAACAGGCAGGTGATAAACACATAGATGATTATACCCCCATAGTGTTACTTAATGCCATTCCTGACTCTTATAATGATGTTAAGTCCGCTATTAAATATGGTAGAGATGAGATCGCTAGATATTGTCGTTAATGGGTTAAGAAGTAAGGAATTAGACCTGATGCATGCTAGGGGTAGTAATAGTCAGTTCAGGGACTCCGGTGAAGCTATGTTTGTTAGAGGTAGATCTAAGAGTAGGTCTAAGCACTTTAAGCAAAACAGTCAAAGTAAGAACACTAGTCAGCCAGGGAGGAAGAGGAACAAATCTAGGAAGAGAGTGTGTTACAATTATGGTAATGCTGGCCATTTCATTAAGGGTTGCCCTAACCCTAAGAAGACCGAGCATGCTAGTGTAGATGTTGATAGATGTGACCTAATGAGGTTTTGATGGTTTGTGACCATGTTAATTCTGTGCGTAATTCCCTGTCTGAGCATGAATGATTGATTGACTCTGGTTGTACCTTTCACATGTCCCCCTTTAGAGATTTGTTTTCTACATATGAAGTATGTGATAGTGGCTATGTTTCCTTGAATGATAATAAAAGATGCAATGTGCTTGGTGTTGGTGATATATGTCTGAAATTTTCTTGTGGCTCTGTGTTTACCATTAAGAATGTGAGGCATGTCCCTGATTTATGTCATAACTTGTTATCTGTTGGTGCTTTGGAGAGTAGTGGTTTACCGGGAAAATGGGGGAATGGTTGCATGAAAATTCTGAAAGATCTTTTGTTTTGTTTAAAGCTGAGAAGGTGAATAGCCTTTATGTTTGTTATGCTAAACCTTTTGGTGATTCTGTGAATGTTGTATGTGCTGATAAGACCTCTTTGTGGCATAATAGGCTAGGGCATATGAGCAATAAGGGTTTAGATATCATGCATAAGTCTGGTTATTTTGTTAAAGACTACGTGACTTCTGTGCCTTTCTGTGAATCATGTGTGTTGGGCAAGCATCATAGAGTTAGCTTTCCTACATCTTCTTACCCTAACCTGTCTAAGTGTTCGTTTGTGCTTAAATATGTTCAACACACTCACTGGAATGCGTTGAAATGGTTGTTGAGATATGTGAAGGGTACTCTTAATGGTTGTTGACATGCGTTGAACATATTCAAGCACAGACGAACACTTAGACAGATTAGGGTAAGAGGATGTAGGAAAGCTAACTCTATGCTGCTTGCCCAACACACATGATTCACAGAAAGGCACAGAAGTCACAAAGTCTTTACCAAAATAACCAGACTTATGCATGATATCTAAACCCTTATTGCTCATATGCCCTAGCCTATTATGCTACAAAGAGGTCTTATCAACACATACAACATTCAAAGAATCAGCAAAAGATTTAGCATAACACACATAAAGGTTATTCACCTTCTCAACTTTAAAGAAAACAAGAGATCTTTCAGAATTTTCATGCAACCATTCCCCCATTTTCCATGTAAACCACTACTCTCCAAAGCAGCAACAGATAACAAGTTATGACACAAATCAGGGACATACCTCACATTCTTAATGGTAAACGTAGAGCCACAAGAAAATTTCGGACATATATCACCAACACCAAGCACATTACATCTTTTATTATCATTCAAGGAAACATAGCCACTATCACATACTTCATATGTAGAAAACAAATCTCTAAAGGGGGACATGTGAAAGGTACAACCAGAGTCGATCAACCATTCATGCTCAGACAGAGAATTACGCACAGAATTAACATGGTCACAAACCATCAAAACCTCATCAAGGTCACATCTATCAACAGCTACACTAGCATGCTCGGTCTTCTTAGGGTTAGGGCAACCCTTAATGAAATGGCCAACATTACCATAATTGTAACACACTCTCTTCCTAGATTTGTTCCTCTTCCCCCTGGCTGACTAGTGTTCTTACTTTGACTGTTTTGCTTAAAGTGCTTAGACCTACTCTTAGATCTACCTCTAACAAACATAGCCTCATCGGAGTCCCTGAACTGACTATGACTACCCCTACATGCTTCAGGTCTAATTCCTTACTCCTTAACCCATTAACGACAATATCTAGCGAAATCTCATCCCTACCATATTTAATAGCGGACTCAACATCATTATAAGAGTCAGGAATGACACTAAGTAACACTATGGGAGTATAATCGTCTATGTGTTTATCACCTGCCTGTTTGATATTCTGTATCAGTTTATCAAACACATCAAGGTTCTCATCTATATCCTTAGTCAGGTCAAGCCTAAACCTAAAGAATTTTTCAAGTAAAAACAACTTCCCGGGCAAAGGGGTATCAATATAGAGACTATCCAATTTCTCCCACAAAGCCTTAGCGGATTCAAAAATACCCACTTTCCTAAGCACAGAATCAGTCAGATTCAAGTAAATAGTAGAACAAGCAGTTTCGCTCATTTCAATTTGCATAGCCTTATCTTTTGATTCAAGGAAAATACCTGTGACAACTCTAAAAACTTTTTGTTGTATTACAACACACTTGATTTTTTGTTTGAATATGTCAAAATCCGTTTTTCGTTAAACGGGAGCATACCATACTGATTAGCAGCCATGGTATCAACCACAAAACAACACAAACAAATTTGACAGAAAATAAATCAACCCGGGCTATAAAGTATCCACTTTAATAACCCCGAGCAGCATGCAACCAATAGGAGTTTGAACAGTTTGGCACCTTAAACAACTCCGGGCTGCAATTAGGATTAATTAATTCTACTCCTAACACCCAAAAAACCACCCTTATGCACAAGAAATGAAACTAACAACACTTTCATTTCAATTTGATCAACTAAAATAATCTGCCACAAAGGAGAGGATTTAGCAAACGCACCTGGGAGTTGGCGGCCGCGATACAATCTACCCTTGGGGAGGGGGAATAAATTAAATCCGGAGGCACCCGGTGCACCCAGGGTGTTTATCGCCAATTTACCTTAGCGAAACCCTAGGAGAGGGTTTCGACCTTACCTACCCAATAGAAAATATTGGGATTTTCGAACTGTTGACCGAGTTTGACCATCGTTGACCGGCGTTGACCAGTGTTGACTACCTCCAGCTTCAGGTCCAGCAGCTCCAACCCAGTAGTCCAGGTCCAAGCAGTCCAGCCCAGCAGCTCCAGCACTCCAAAAACACCAGTCCAGGTCCAGAGGCCCAAAAGCCTAACATCTGAAGCCTTGCAGACCGGCGGTCCTTCTATAACCCAGCTCCAGCGTCCGTGCGTACAGACTAGCGTCCAGAAGAACATGGGGCCCAAGGTTTCATCGTTCCAGATACGGAGAGAATCAGCGCCATTCGTCTTCAGTTTCAGCGCGAGAGAAGAATGACTAACGAAGACCAGCACCAGACAAAGACGAGTGACCACCTGCGAATAGCTTCCGGACAGGCGGCGATGGTGGATTCCGGCTTTCGGCGAGCGCGATTTCAACACCAACCTTCAGTGCAATCCACAACGGACGAACAGTGAACTCAATGGAGAGGACGAGTTGCGAGAGGACCTTCACTATCTTCAATCAACTACTAGTAGCCTCGAACGACGGCAGACGACATAATGCGGTGGGGGGTGGTTGCGGAGGGTGGCGGCAGACGGCGGAACCCGCTCTGATACCACTGGAAGGATTAAATCCATCTCCGGCTGAGGTCTTTCTATACAAAGACTCACAAACATCACACTAGGGATGACCACTTCACCTCCAAGCTTCTTCTCTACCACTAAGTAGCCTCTCTTACACTCTCACACAAAGGAAAGGAAGAAGAAGTAGAGCACTGCTCTCTCTATGGATATCTCTCGCAGGCTAATTTCAAATGGAGAAGCAAGGGGACTACTAATAGTCTGCCTAGTAAGCTGGAAGTCACGGGTGAGGCAAACAAAGGAAACTCACGGGCTACTCAAACAAAGGGTGTAGCAGACAAAAAAAAGGGGCCAGCCAATAGATAAGTCAAACACTCAATAAGAGTGGTAAAACGAGGTATAGCTTAGTGGGAATAAGTCAATAATAAAGTGGAAGGGAGACCTTGGTAGGACCAATACCTCTAACATTTAATATAAAATATATAATATACTATATGTATAGGTATTTTTTTCGAAGTCCATGGGGTCCCGGGACCCCGTTGGACCCTTAGTGGGTCCGCCTCTGTGAGTGGTCTTGTGCCATGCATGCACTGAAATACACACTGGCAAAACATATTAGAAAAAATGCATCTTCTCTCTCACACACTCACATACTATAGTTGGTTAGCTTGTCCACCTTGTCACGCCCCTGAAGAGTGAGCTTATCTTGGCTGGCCCATGTCCCAGAGAATCATAACAGTAGGCTATACTTTTCTTTTCACAGGATCGTTTGCGAATGTGTTTGGCCGGATTCAGAATGGGCATCGCTGATTCCGGTAGAACCTCATTATCATTCCAAGAAACAGTGCAGGAGGATGATGAAATATAAGGAAGAGGAAATGGTATCTTTTTCACCATCTCGAACAAAAGATACGCACTTTAGCTGATCATGATTCTACCTTTCTCCCTGAAACATAAAGTAAGTGATGATTGATTAAACAACCCGTGTATGTTGGGGATTTGGATGTGGAGTGCAGTGAGGGAAGAATAAGGATGTGCTAAACATGTGTCTTCTCTTGAGTGAGGAAGAGTTTGGATTATATGAACAAATTTTAGGAATAAAGGTCAAATTGTATGTCAAACCACTCAAACGACCAATGTAATTTTTGGCATGTAATGAGGGAATTAACCGAATTCTCTTACATCTAATCGGAATAACTCAGATGTAGAGATTTGAGCCGCCGAGATCCTAGGGGGATTACGAGTAAACTAATAGAATTATAAATAGGGATGTTCTGTACTTTACATATAACTCTGCCGGTATAAATATATATTTCAGGGCTGCTCAGGGACTAACCTTTTCCATTATTCTCACATGGTATCAAGAGCACATTAGTTTTTTTATCCTCTCTTTCACTACAACTCGGCGCCGCGAGCTAACCCTAGAGCCGCCACCGTCTATTCTCTTTCGGCACCGTCACGCAGTATGTCGACTTCCGCTTCCACATCCCTCAGCACGGCGGTTAACACGTCCCACCCCGCCTCCACTGCCGCGGCCAGCATCGTCACATCAACCGGCGCTTCTACGTTTTTTGGAATGCTGCCGACGATCACTTCTGTCTCTTCCGGTGTGACATTCTCCTCCAACTTTGCATCACCAAGCCGGGCCTCTATGTCATATTCTCTGTTTCAGAATATACCACCAGTGTTTTCATGGTCGGCTCCAATTCCCGTGCAGGCTGTACCTCTAGATCCACCCCCTTCTTGGCCGGATCATCGTTTATCGGCCCCACGTTCGTCGGTTCACCTGGTGTCTCCTCCGCTATGCCTCCTTTTCGCACACCTGCAGGCAGCCCGACCGGATCTCTCCTCACCGATCTTGCTCAAACCATCGCTCATGTGGCCACCTACTTATTCCATAGATGCCCTTAATCGTCAAACTCCCAATTCAGAATTTTCCACTTGGTTGCGAATTGATCAAACAATCCGTTCATGGTTATTTGCAACCCTTTCTCGGGATGTTCTTATCGATGCTCGTGATTTAAAACATTCCTGTGAAATTTGGGAGCGGTTGGAGTCTCGGTTTATGTCTGCCAGTTTAGCTCGATCTATGGAATTAAAGCGTTTATTAAATCAAATAAAAAAGAAACCTGATCAGTCCATGGATAATTATTTGAGAGAAATTAAAATATTAGTTGATGATCTTGCCACAATAAATTGCCTTGTGCCTTTTCGTGAAGTGTTAAAGACTACTATTATGGGACTGGTACCTGAGTATGAATCTTTATTCACCACTGTGTCATTATTTCCTTAAAATTTCCCGTTTGAAACTCTCCACAATCATCTTCTTGAGTTGGAGCTGCGGGTTATTTATCTACGCTCCCAGGAGTCCTCGTCCTTCCATCAGGCATTCGGCGCAACTGTTTCTTCCCCCTGACATCCCACTGGCCAGCAGGCGGACCACCAGCAGTCGGGTTCATAATACCCGGTCGGGCAGTCCCAGCACCCGATCAGGTAGCAGCGCCAGATAGGCTCCTAGCACCGAGGCAGAGCCACAGTCGAGGGAGAGGCTGTGGTGGCAGGGGACGTGGTTGAGGACAGCAACCAATACCGTATGGCCACATAGAACATCGGATGAATCGATCACTCTTTGGCAGATGAAGGAGGAAGGTCAAATGTAACATTGTAGAAGAGAGATGTAGAACATCGGTTACCCGATGTCTCTTTGCTTGTAAGAAGGATGAGAAGTGTACAAAATCGGTTTAACCGATGGCTCTTTGGACAAAGGAGGCGTATAATGTGGTGGTGACTGGGATATGAGTTTATATGCTTAATGTTTGAGAGGGGTAGGTACGTGTTTAATACTCCGTATATACCGTATTTAATACATTCGGAATGGATAGGTAGTTGATAGGTAGTGCCGGACGATTTAAGTGGAAAAGGTTGGATTGAGTTTAAATTGGGCTAGGTTGGTTCCGTAGTTGGGCTGAATTTGGTTCAAAGTTTTAGAATCTGTTTTCCATTTAAATACATTTGGTCGTAGTATTCAAATGGGTTGAAAATAACCAAAGAAGCCGGGTTATATCCAAATTCCAAAATAGGACTGTCATGTTTTTATTCTCAAATAGGACTAATTACTGCAATGTTTAGAAAATACTGTCATGTTTGAAGTCTGGTACTGCCAAAACATGACAGGAATTAGTCCTGTTTTGGGAATAAAAACATGGCAATCCTATTTTGGAATTTTTAAACTGTTTTAGTCCTATTTCAAGTAATATCTCCCTAAACTAATAAAATGATAAATTCATATAATTTGTTTAACTTAATAATTATGTTTTCTAATACATTAAAAAATACGTATTACTACCTCCGTCCCTATATAAAAGTATCCATTCATTTTACACACATCTTAAGAAAGTGGGTTTGGTTGGTACTGTTTGACACTGTTTGGACACTGTTTGGCACTGTTTGGCACTGTTTTGCACTGTTTTGTTTGCCAAAAAAGGAAAGGGAACTTTTATTTAGGGATGACCCGAAAAGGAAACAAATGCTTTTATTTAGGGACGGAGGGAGTAATACTTTTTAAGTTTTTAATTAATAAATTAATTGAATAAATTAATGATACTTCATGCTTGAATTTTAAGTTTTGATTGTGGTTTTTCATGATTATTTTTGTGCAAGTAATTTTTTGTATATGTGGTGAGAGACGCTTATAAACATTATAAGCATACTAATTCTTTTTAAAATGTTATAATATTATTTTAAAAGGTGGACTACCCGGCCTGCTTTTACGGGCAGGTATGGACATGTGGTTAGGCCCATTTGTTGCAAGCTGGTCCGGTCCTGCCCACATCAATGTGCAAAATATTTAGAAAAACCCTTGCATGAATCTGGCTCGAACCTTGCCCGAACTCGGCTCGAACCCAATTTTGAGTAGACCTATTCGCATCCCTATAATGTAAAAGCTACTAGGGTCAAAATATGATACATATCTGATAATAACAAATATATGAACAACAAAAACATAGATGTAGAAAGATGTTCACATCAATTTTGTGACACGAGGTTACTGAGTATTTCATTTTCAAGGGATATCAGTATTCCCTTCATCACTTATATATCAAAACTGTCTAGTTTAGGTCTATCAATGAAGCGAATTGATAGAAATCTGATATTTATTACGACATGTTCGAACCACAAAATCATAGATCGATACAGATCTATGAAGTAATCTACGCTTTGTTTTAGGTTTTTAATAATCATCACATTTAAACATGAAAAACAGTCTACAAAAATGAAATAATCAAATGTTTTAAAGAATTCACAAAATAGGAAACCCAATTTCCGAGACGATAATCAAATAGGAAAAATACTGAAAATCGAATTACAAATTTAGAATTATATTTATAATTAACAAATTTAGAGATATATTGACAATTGCATAGGAATTGACCGATAAAGATGTAATTTCTTGCATGTAATCGGGGAATTAACCGAATTCTCTCGCATCTAATCGGAGTAACTCAGATGTGAATGAACGCACGTAGCATCAGATGAATCGATTATTCTCTTTTGCAGATGAAGGAGGAATGTCAAATGTAACATCATATAAGAGAGGCGTAGACCATCGTTTACCCGATGTCTCTTTGCTTGCAAGAAGGATGGGAGGTGTAGAGCATCAATTTAACCGATGGATCTTTGGACGAGGGAGGCGTATAATGTGGTGATGACTCGGATATGAGTTTATATACTTAGGGCTGGGCGATTTAATTAGAAAAAGTTGGGTTGGGTCAAAATTGGGCTAAGTTAGTTCCGTAGTTGGGCTAGATTTGGTTAAAAAAATAAGAAACTGTTTTCCAATTTACTAAATTTGTTGGTTGCATTCAAATGGGCCGAAAATAACCAAATCAACTGGTTTTATCCATATTTCAATTGACTAAGCTTGTTGGATTCATTATATTGGTAATTGTAAAAGATATAATTTATAGTATGTATAATGATAATAAAAAATGATAAATTCATATAATTTATTTAAATTAATAATTATGTTTTCTAATACATAAACAAATAATATTTTTTAAGTTTTAATTAATATATTAATTGAAAAAATTAATAATACACCGTGCTTGAATTTTAAGTTTTAAATATATTTTTTCATGATTATTTTTGTGTAAGTATTTTTGTATATGTGGTGAGAGAGGCATGTAAACATTATAAAAGTTGGACTGCCCTGCCTGGTTTTACGGGCGGGTATGGACATGTGGTTAGGCCTTTCTCGCTGGTCGGGCTAGTCCCGCCCATAGCAATGGACAAAATATTTAGAAAAAGCCCGGTCCGAACCCAGCCCGAAACTAGCCCAAACCTGACCCGAACTCGACCCAAACCTAGTGTTGTGCAGATCTATTCACATCCCTACAATGTAAAAACTAATAGGGTCAAAATATGATACATATTTGATATTAACACATGTATGAACAACAACAAAAACATAGATCTAGACAGATGTTTATATCAATTTTTTGACATAGGGTTACTGAATATTTCATTTTTAAGAAATATCAGTCTTCACTTCGTCACTTATAAATCAAATCCATCCAGTATGTCTATCAATGAAGCGAAAAATTGATATACATCTGATATTACGATAAATACGAACCACAAAATCATAGATCTAGACAGGTCTATTAAGTAATCTACGTTTTGTTTTAGGGTTTTAATGATCATCACATTTAAACATGAAAAACAGTCTTCAAAAATCAAATAATCATTGTTCTAAAAATCGGCCTAGGCGGTCCGATTAATCGGCCTAGGCGGCCTAGTCGGCCATAACTGTAGAGGCCGAGTCGGCCTAGTCAGCCAAAAAATCGGCCTAGTCGGCCAAAAAATCGGCCTAGTCGGCCGCCTAGGCGCTAGGCGCCCCTCAACCGCCCGACTAGCGCCTAGCGAGTTTTAGAACAATGCAAATAATCAAATGTTTTAAAGAATTCACAAAACAGGAAACCCAATTACCAAGGTGACAATCGAATACGAAAAATACCAAAAATCGAATAACAAATTAAGAATGATATATTTACAATTAATAAATTTGAAATATATCGACAATTGCATCGGAAATGAGACTACAATTGTTCGCAGGTAGAAAACTGGAAAAGATGTACTCCCTCCGTCCCAGAAAATTCTTCCCACTTTGACTTGGCACGGAGATTAAGAAAGTGGAATAAAGTGGAAATGTGTAGTTGTAGTTGTGTAAGAAAAAGGTGAAATGAATGTGAACCACACAAATTGTCCAAAAATGGTAAATAGGAAGAATTTTTTGGGACGGACCAAAAAGGAAAGTGGGAAGAATTTTATGGGATGGAGAGAGTAATTTCTTGCATGTAACCGGGGAATTAACTGAATTCTCTTGCATCTAATCGGAATAACTCAGATGTGAATACATAGAACATCGAACGAATCGATCACTCTTTGATAGATGAAGGAGAAATGTCAAATGTAACATCGTAGAAGAGAGATGTAGATCGAGCATCGTTTACCCAATGTCTCTTTGCCTGTAAGGAGGATGAGATGTGTAGAGCATTGGTATAACCGATGGCTCTTTGGACGAAGGAGGCGTATAATGTGGTGATGATTGAGATACAAGTTTACATATACTTATTAGAGATTGGGAAGGGCGGGTAAGCATTTAATACTCCGTATATGCCATATTTAATACATTCGTAATGAGTACGTAGGGCTTGACAATTTAAGTGGAAAAGGTTGGGTTGGGTCGAAATTGGGCTAGGTTGGTTCC